GTTCTCCCTCACAGCCCTTGTGAGCTCAAATCTCAGAAAAAGGCAGGTGGGGGGTGTGTTTGTACTTACCCTCAGGGAGGAGAACCTGGTGAGCTCTTGAAATGGGAGAAGCCACAGGAGCGGTGGTGGTGGAGATGGGCTTTCTTCAAGTCTTATATGAAATATTTTGCCTAATGCACTCCTATTTATAGTGTGTAAATGGCCCAGTGCTCTTTCAGAACAAAGTTTCCTGATTGGACAGGATTTCTTGCACCACCTCCTTCAAAAGTACAAATGTTTGTCTTCCAGTAATGTGGCAAAACCTGTCAGCCCTCCACTGGAAAATCCTTGCTCTTCCATCTTGGACACGGTCCAGGGGACTTTAGGAGTCATGATTTGCTACCAGGTAAGCTCCTGTTAGCTGGGCACGTGGACTGGAACCTTGTGCAGGCGGGAGGGGCCCAGTCTCACTGGAAGACACCCCTGGAAAGCCAGGGCAGTGTGGTGATGAGGCGTGTGGGAATGAGACTGAGGTGACCTGGGTTTGAGTGATGACTTTGGACAGTCGCAGACTCTCGGCCCAACCCCATCCTTTTTGTTGTGGGAATGAGATTGAGAGAGTAGAAGGTGGAGAATGGTGTAAGCTGCCCCGAGCTTGTTGTGAGGAAAAAGTGGGATAGAAATCAAGCAAACCACCGAAAGTGTAAGCTCGGTGGTGTCAGCTGCCACCGAAAACACCTCCATCCTCTTCAAGAGTAGACCCATTAAAAATTTCCCAAAAAACAATGGGATTGAAGTTTGTTGTTATTTCCTTTAAAATTTTGATTTAAGTGGGACTACTCTTGAAAGGTCTAAGACTGGGTACCAACCCTTTCCAGGGTGGAGACGGAGGTACTGATCTTGGGCCAATCAGTCAATGTGATTCCAGTTGCAGAAATGAGAAGGTAGTACAGGTGCTGCTTTGGGTTCCTTGGAAGAATGGAAAATCTGTTGCTAAGAGGCATGGTTCCTTTTAGGATTCATGAAGGATGGGCAGGGCGCGTTCCAATGGAGAGGAAACCAAGATTTAGGGTGGATGCCAGAATTACTTCCTGATGGTTGGGTCCCCTAGGGTATGGAATGGGCTTCCATGGGAGGTGTTTGAAGTCCCATAGGTTCAAGGATAGGCTGGACATGCACATGGTAGACATGTCATGAGTAAAGCCAGCTGGAGCTGGGGGTCAGACTAGATGGACCAGGAGTCCCCTTTTGACCCACTCTGTTTCTATGTTTCTATGATAAACTCACAATAAGTGAAGGATTTTTTTAGATGAAAGGAACATACGCTGTGATGTGCCTTAAGACTGAAAGAGCCCATAGGATGGTCTGAAGGCACATAAAGTGCCCACCATGCTGAAGCTGAGCAGTTCTGGGGCTGGCCTGAGCTTGGAGGAGAGACCACCTGGGAACTGCATGAAATTGCCTTGAGTTCCACAGGGGCAAAAAGCAGGGGATAAATATAATGCACAGTTTTTAAAAAGTTTGATATTCCTCTATAAGTACCTCAAAGGCTGTCACAAAGAGGAAGGTCAAGATCTCTTCTTGGTGATACCAGAATGTAGGACACAGAATAATCAATTCAAGTTGTGACAACCCAGATTCAGGCTGTGCATCAGGAAAAGCAATACAACAGTGGAACCAGCTGCCTAGAGAGGTGGTGGGCTCCCCCACACTGGATACATTCAAAAAGGAACTGGGCAGCCATCTGAGTGGGATGGTGTACCTTGGTGTCCTGCAACAGCAGGGGGTTGGGCTGATGGCCTTCATGGTTCCTTCCACCTCTAGTATTCTATGAATTGCTTGATGAGTTTGTAATCAAGCAAGTGTCTTGGTTTGGTTTGCCCTCTCTAGGCATGTGAGTTTGTGTATATGAGAGGGAGAATGAGCAGGATTGAGAGCTGGAATGACGATTAAATGCATTCACTGCATGGGAGGTGTTCCTGAAGCAGAAGCACAGACAAGCTGAGGAACAGCCCCTGCCCTACTCTTGGGCTGGAGCCAGGGGAACGTGGCCAGCACAAATCGCCTGGGAACACCCAGACCCTCTCCAGAGAAGTGGCTCACTTTGAGCTCTTGCCAGGGTGTTCTCAGAAGGCAAGCAGCAGCCTTGAGCACTTTGCTCTGGAACAGGTAACTGGGAAGTAATGAGAAGTCACAACATTGCCCAGCTTCCTGCCAGGAGCAACTTCTCGGCCTGGCAATCCCCTTCTGCATTCCCTCCACAAATGCAAATGGACTGAGAAACACACACACACATGTCCCAAGGCCCCCATGCTGTTCTAGCCCAGTGTCTAAAAATGTGGAAAGCCCCTGGAGATGGACCTGTCTGCTCTTGATTCCCATAAGTCCACTGAGTAGGGTCTCCGCTTGCATCTGGTCAAGATCTGTGACTCAGGGACTGCCCAGTGGCTGCTCTGAACAATTGCATGAAGCCAGAGTCTTCCCAGAACCCTCCTGGCCTGGCCCAACATCAGCATGTGTGGAAAACCCCATGCCTGGAAACTGCCCTATGCTTGACCCCAGTTCAGCAGGTTCCCATCACTGAAAAGCAAGAACCTCATGGACAAAGCACACGTCCTCCAGTCTGCATTTGCAAGCATTGGTTTTATTGAGAGGTCAGCAGCCTTCCTGAACTTGTGTCCTACAGGCTTGTTGGACTACAACACCTAGCATGTTGGTAGGGATAGTCTGGCAGAACTGGAGGGCCCAGGCTGGGGAAGGCAGAGGTGGAGTGAGCCGATGATCATGAAGATGGGTTTTCTTGGGTGAATGAGCAAGCTCGAGGAAGCCCAAGAGTGGAGCAGGCCACCGTCTTGCAGATGTTCCCTGGGAAGAGCAGAGCAGTGCAAGCGGGAAGACCCTCTTGCGTGGATACCCAGCAGAGGAAGGCTGAAGCGGAAGCAGGAAGCGAAGGAGGATGCATTGCTGCCCTGGCCGTGTTCAGATCTTGGGCTTCTGTGGATGGAGTTGAGTTGCCTCCTTGTCCACACGCTACACGAGGGCTCCCAAGTGGACCGGCAAATTCCGCTCACATAGCACCGTGATCCTCTCGTTCTCTGGCATTCCCGTATATTGGCAGTTTGGATACTGAGTATTGCTTTGATGGGTGCATTTGACTACAGGGTAGGGCTGTGGGCTTGTTTCATATCCATCTGATGTTCGTTGACACAGTTGTCGGATTCTTTCAGCTCTGCAGTTGATGAAGGTGTTGCCGGATTTGCAGGGTCTCTGTATCAGGTTTCTCTGCCTCATCATGAGGTTGCAGTAGGCATTAGGGTTTGGGGCTGTTGTTTTGGGATGATCGACATGCATGTTTTGAAAAGCACCCCAGCTCCGCTCTTCACAGGATTGAACCAGCAGGATCCCAAGAAGGAGGACTGCATGGACCAAGAACCCACCGGAGATTTTGGAGTTCCCCATGACCAGGCTGCAGAATCTGCAGTGAAGAAGAGGATGGAAAAAAGAAGGGAAACGTGAAAGTGATAACTACTTCTAAAAGATGAATTCAGGCGCTACTTCATTCATCCTGAAGAATAAGATTGTGACCTAAACTGGCTTTCACCTGTCCAGGCTGCAAGTTTTGCAGAGATAATTGGGAATGTGAAAATTCTCCCTTAATCTGGCGCTGTAGTACTTGCCAGACTTTTTTCCCAGGTCAAGGTGAAGCTGAACTGAGATGGAAAATAGAGAGTGGGCTGGAATCCAGGCAGCCAAACTGGGAAAATCTGTCAGATTCCCCCTCCAAATCCATTTCCTTACACCCCCTGGTGGAAAGTTGCCATATTATTAGATATTCCCCACATCTCTTGATCATGGATTGCAATTCCCCTGGGTTTTAGAAAACGTACAAAGCCAACACATATCAGGTAATGAGAAATGCACACAGTGGATGAGCGATTCTTGGGCACCACTCATATTATTATTATTGTTGTTATTATTATTATTATTATTATTATTATTATTAATTTCCCACCATTTTTCCTTCTAAGGTACACAAAACGGCTCGCATAAATCTCCTCCTCCTATCAGTTTTATCCTCATCACCACCCTGTGAGGTAGATTGGACTGAGAGTCTCTGACCAGCCCAAAGTCACCCAGAGAAAGAGGACAGATGCATTGCAGATGTCACGGCTGGCTGCTGGATACCAAGGGGGATCATGGGCAGATTTCCTTGGATCACACTGATCTTAAAAGCCCCAGAGCAGTGTGGGCCAGTCCTTTCCAGGACTATCTGCAATCTTCCACTTGCAGGCTTTGTGTGCACAGACCTCAGAACTAGGCATATTAGGATGAGTTCATACTTACTCTTTCGGGAGGACGAGCTGGAGAGATCTTGGAATGCTAGAAGCCCCAGACTGGTCACAGGGCTGGCTTTCTTCAGGTCTCCCATGAAAGCTTTTGCTTAGTTCATTTGCGTTTATATCCTGGAAATGACCCAGTTCCCCCAGAATATGGCCCCCCATTGGCCAGGATTTCTTATACCACCTCCTTCCAAAGACACAAACATTGTCTTCCAGTAATGTGGTGAAACCTGCCAGTCCTGCATTGGGAAACCCTTGCTGTTTAACCTCACACCAGGACTGGGTGCTCTTAACGGCAAAGTCACCACAGTTGTTTCATTGCGATGCTGAAACAAGCATCTTATGGGCTGTGGAACTCATGGGGTAGCGATTCCAGAGAAGATTGTCCAGGCTGGACAAGTGGAATGGAAGCGTCTATGTGCAGGACGCCCCCATCTCACATGAAGCAAGGGTGAATCCAGTGGAGCGTCATCCCACAGTCCAAAGGACTCCTGTCTGGGGCGTTTAATCTCCTACTCAGCTTCTGGGAAGTGTCTTCTTGAGTGCATCACCTCCCGCTGTCCCTGCTCCTCTTCCTCGCTCTCAGCATATCCCGCTCATCTTGCGTGCCTGGCAGAGAGCAGCGAGTGCATCAGCAGGGGTGTCCACAACTCCTGCTCCTCACCGCTAATGCTGGGAGGGACAGCGAGAGTCAGGAGAACAAGCGAGGAGGGGGAAGGCCTTTTTAGTTGACCTCTGCTGGCATGTGGGCCCCTGACAGGTTCCTGATCCGTCTTAGGAGTGGGCCAGTTCCGGGCCTGTGTCTAGCAAGCCCCTGCATGAAGTTCCCTTGGCTGCAAAATCAACCCACACAGAAATCAAACAGAACACAGGAAGAAACCCCTTTCCCAGAATTATAGCCCCTGGGAACCATGCGGTTCAGAGGACAAACAGACCAGCCTCCCAAACGAACAAGAATAGGCTCACCATCCAAAGATTTTGACTAAATGTCTGAAAATTCCCTTCCTCTCAGAGGTGCATAATCTATTATAACAGCAGCTGAGCTGGGCATGATGGGTGTTGCAGTCTATCCCATCTGGAGAGCACCAAGTGGGAGGAGGGCAACCGGATGCCTAGACATCATTCTCTGCTGCTTTCTGGGACTGCGTATTTGTCCATGTGGCACAAGTGTGTCGATGGTGGAAAGGGTCTCCCAGGCAGGCCTCTGCCTCCCTCTTTGCAGTCCTGGCTGAGCACCTGGGCTGCATCTGCAGACCCAGATGGACATGACCTGCCAGGTACGTGTGGCCCTCATTCTGTCTCTAGCCATGGAAGTTGGCTTCTGGTTCATGGACAGGCCAGGCTGTTGTGCCTTTGGCTTGCTGGATGGAGCAGAAACAGGAAATGTCCTGTTACAGTTTGGGCACTAGGGCAACAGGAGGAGGGTGGGAGTAAATGCAC